TGATGGCTGAGTGTGAGTTCAAATCGGAACATTAAATAAAAACAAACAAACAAACAAAAACCACGCAAAAGTCCTTAGGCCTTTGTCAAGGTAACAGGACAGGATGCCTCCGTTTGGTTTGTGCCCCTCCCCCGTCCTCCTATTCTTCACCAGCTCAGTTTGTGACCCAAGAAGGTTGACTGAGCATTGTTTGTGTCTAGTGTGTGTTCAGAGACCAAGTGGCTGTACTGCAAAAGGCTCCTTGGGCCTTGGTGTCTGTGGAGATGAACTTTCTGGGAGCGGTGTCCCCCTTAGCATCTCTTTCCTGCTATAATCCAGACTCCCAGGTTTTTTTTTTTTTGTTCCTAAATTTTATTTATGAATTAATACAAAACATTCCAGACCAATGCGTCTTAATCCTCCTCCTCCTCCTCTTCTTCATCCTGGTTAATCTGGAAGTAACACATCTCATAGCTCTCTTTGCTGTTGGCGACAACACGCAACCAGTCTCGGAGATTGTTCTTCTTCAAATATTTTTTTCGTGAGATATTTCAAATACCTTTTGGAGTAAGGCACCTTGGAAGTGACAGTGATCTTGCTCTTGCTCTGTTCGATGGTCACAACCCCTCCACCGAGATTCCCAGCTTTGCCTTTCTGCCTCCTCTGCCGCCATGGCGCCCGTGAAAAAGCTTGTGGCGAAGGGGGGCAAAAAAAAAAAAAAGAAGCAGGTTTTGAAGTTCACCCTTGATTGCACCCACCCTGTAGAAGATGGGATCATGGACGCTGCTAATTTCGAATTTCGAGCAGTTCCTCCAGGAGAGAATCAAGGTGAACGGCAAAGCTGGGAATCCAGACTCCCAGGTTTTACCTGCAGCCCTAGTTTTTCTGTCTCCCTGGCTCTTTCTTCCTGGCCTTTTCCCTCCCCCACACAAGCTGAGGCATCTTTCCACCCTTTACTTGCTTTCCTTTGCTTCCCTTGGCAGACAAGCAGCCCATAGCTGCTGCACCAGCTCCTGATCTCTCCTCAACTCCAGCGTTTGACCCTGCGAGGTCTGACTTAGCTTCTGGGGAACATGGGGAGGGGGACCTATGCTTTCTGAATCACCCATTGGTGCCCAGTGGACTCCTTAGAACTTTGTCTTCTCTTAGCTTCCAGGACCATTCTAGGCCTTCCAGCTAAGGTTTTTTTTTTTGGTTGGTTTTTCGAGACAGGGTTTCTCTGTGGTTTTGGAGCCTGTCCTGGAACTAGCTCTTGTAGAACAGGCTGGTCTCGAACTCACAGAGATCCACCTGCCTCTGCCTCCCGAGTGCTGGGATTAAAGGCGTGCGCTACCACCGCCCGGCTCCAGCTAAGTTGTCTGTGTCTCCTCCATTTACTGCACACTGAGTGTCTGTCACCACATGAATATGCTTTATTTATGTTATTCTTAAAGAACGATCCCCGGGCGGGTTGGCGGAGCCCGCCATGAGAAAGCGGCTACAGGAGGGCACGTGCCGCGCCCACGGTGGCGGCAGGTAACAGACACGTAAACACAGGAAATAGCCATAAGTATTTATTAAGGAAGAGGGAGAAAGAAAGAAAGAAAGAAAGAAAGAAAGAAAGAAAGAAAGAAAGAAAGAAA